TCACACGACGCCACCACCCACCCCACCGCACCCCCCCCCCCCCCCCCCCCCCCACCCGCGCCTCCTTCAATATGCCACCCTCTACCTTCACCCTCACCCTCGCCCTCACCCTCACCCTCACCCTTACCCTCAACCTTAACCTCGCCTGCACACACACTGCTGCTGAAAGCCCCTGGACGCCCGAGACACCAGCCGTCGGCGTCGAAGTCTCGTCCGCCCGAGTCTCTCGCATGTTGGTCGCCGACTGGAACGATGACGGAGATGAAGACATTGTGCTGATCCGTAACAGCGGAGGTAGTTTGCCAGATCGCTTGAGCTTCTTTCAACGAGCGGGCTCAGCGTACTCAGAGTCGTCCTCGCTACTCTACGTCCCAGGAAAGGTCTTCGCCCATATGGTCGTCGGCTTGGTCACCGATGATACCAAGCTCGATGCTTTGGTAGTGCAAATCAATGATGGCATCAACATGGCGCTGCAGAATCCCTTGTTGTCCAGCTCGTTTATTCCCGACACCGACTTTGTGGACAGCACGACTCGCCTCGCGCTCGCCGACGTCGATGGCTCGACCTCGCTCGACCTCGTCGTTGCTCATCCAAGCTACAACGCCATCATGTGGTTCAACAACACTGACGGGAACGCTGCCTGGGGCTCTCAAGAGGTTTTGTTTGCCGTCGAGTCCCCGCTTGCGCTCTCCATCGCCGACGTCAACAATGACGGTTTCCTCGAATACCTCGTTCTCTCCAAACGTGGCGATGGCGCCCACGTGCTTCTCATTGCCTACGGCTCTGCATATGCCACGTACTCCACACTCGAGATCACCACCGCCGTCGGCAGCGACTCGGATATCGCCTTTGCCGATGTCGACAACGATGGCGATCTTGACGTTGCTTTCTCATCCGCCAGCGGCGACCTCGCCTGGGTGGCCAACACTGATGGCGTCATCAGCACCAATGTCACCATTGCGGTGCCCGCTTTTGCTGGGCGTGTACCGCTCTTTATGATGCGCGATCTCGACGCCGATGGTGTTGTCGACGTCACCATGCATGTTCCACTCGCTGCCAATGGCTCGCTCAACTGGGCTCGCGGCCTGGCCGACACTCCGGGCACCTTTGCGCCGCCTGTGCCTATCATCGACTTTCCAACACCAACAGCATTGCATTTATCGACCACGACTCGGATGCCATGCCCGACGTCGTCGTCTCGTCCACACAGGCTGGTGCCTCGGTCTTCCCACATGCCCTCGGTCGCGGCCGATTCGACGCCGCAAGCGTCATGCCCAATACCGCCTACATCGCGGCCTTCTCGGTCGAAATCGGCATAACGGCACCACGCACCATGCCAGGCCTCGTCACCGCTAGCTACAACGGTTCGGCGCACCTTGTTACCACCTACAGCGCGGATGAAGATGCTGGCTTAAGCAGGCATGTCGTCGCTCTCGAAGACGCCATACCGCGCGTTGTCATTCCTGCCGATGTCGACGGAGACAGCCATGCCGAGTTGGTCGCTGTTCTCGATGGCTCCCCATCTCGGGTCCGTCTTTATCGATCGGCATTGGGCGGCAGCACTGCGGCCACCATCGCCACCTTCAGTGAACCCGGTGGCTTCGGGCTGGCGGTCGCCGACGTGAACGCGGACGGCAGCCTCGACATCGCTGTCACGCTCACCGCTGGTGGTATCGGCATCCTCCTCAATGACGGCGCCGGCAGCTTTACAGACGCACCATCGGCCTCACCACCAGACTTTGCCAACTGGCGCTGGCTTCTCTTTGCGCCGCTCAGTAGCTCCTACCCAGACCTGGTCGCTGCTTCGGCAACGGGCGACCGAGTTGTCTGGTTCGGGAACGACGGCTCTGGCAATTTTGGCACCGCCAACAACATTACTCTCCCGGGCGTCGTGTCCCACGTCACCGCCGCCGACGTTGACGTCGACGGCAACGTTGACCTCATCCTCTCGCGCAAGAGCCTTGCACGGGTTCACATCTTTGTCAACCCAGCTGGTAACGGGGCCTTTTCCACCCTGGCATCGCTCGTTACTGATGACCGCCCCGCTTCTGCAACCGTTGCAGACTTTGACCGCAACAACCTTCCGGACATCCTCGTCATTTCGGCAAACGGCAACAGCCTCGGCCTCTTTATGCAGACCTCGCCTGGAGAGTTTACCGACTATCCACGAACCACACTCGTTGATGGCACCGCGCCCAACACTGGCCTGCTCGCCGCTGGCGTCCTCTCGCTCGACGGCCATGCCGATGCTGTGTTTTCTGCGGCAAACTCGTTCATGTACTTGCCCTGGCTCCGTGGTCCATTCGCTCCGCGCGTGCCATGGGTCGTGGACATGCCGGACTGCCCTTCGCTTAGCTTTATCGCTTGCATCGTCCCGCTCCTCCGCGTTCCACACTCGAGCCTGCAGACCACTACTCTCCGTATTCCGGCCGGCACTTACACCTCGTGTCCGACAAGCTTCGTTCAGCTTCGCGGCCTGATCTCAGTCGAGGCCGCTGGTGGGCCCGACTCTGTGGTGATCGACTGCGAAGACGCTCCTGGCGTTCGGCTGTTTGACATTCTTGATCCGTACGATAGTGTCGGGTCAAGTCATGCAACGTTCCGCGGCCTAACCTTTACTGGCATCTCAGCCATACTCGCCCCGTTTCAGGTGCGAGACACCGCGACTCTCGAGTTTGTCGACGTCGCCATCCAGAGCTCGACCGTGACCGGCGGCTCCGGCGCCATCAGAGTCCGTAACTCGGCCACGTTCATTGCGACCCGCGGCCGCTTTGTCGACTGCACGGCTGTCGAAAACGTCGGCGGCGCCATCGAAGCTGCGACTGGTTGGGTCCGCGTCAACGGAACCCGCTTCGAGCGGTGCTCCGCGACTGTCAACAAGGGGGGTGGGGCCATTTATGGCAACTCTCTTGACATTCGCAACGCGCGCTTTGAGGATTGCTCAGCTGGCGAGTCTGGTGGTGCCATTAGCAGCACAGGCTCGCTTGCTGTTTCCGGCACCACCTTTGTCGACTGCTCTTCCGGCGCCAGCGGAGGAGGCATCTCCACCAGTGTCACCTCATCACTGATGGTCGAGGACTCCACCTTTGAGCGGTGTACCTCAGCCTCTGACGGCGGCGCTATTGTTCATCGCGGCGTTACGGCGGGCTTGCGAGGAGTTACCATCACCGACTGCTCAGCGGCCTTCCTCGGCGGTGCAGTGCTTGTCGAAGTCGACCAAGCCAGCATTGGGGTCTCGAACACAGTCATGGAATCGGTTTCGATCTCGTCGTCGACTGCCACAACCGGTGGCCTGCTTGCGTGCGCCGCGCACGTTGCCGGGGCAGACACACTAACCGTTCCATCACAGATTCCGTTTGCGACACCGACGGCCAACAGTCTGGTTCTCGACGGCGTCACGCTCGACAACGGCGCGGCGTCGTTTGTCGGCGGCGCCATCTTTGAGTGTCAGTGCGCCATTTCGCTTGCCGGCGCCGGCATCACCTCGCTCTCTGGCGCCACTGCTGGAACGGCTGGTGCCATCGGGTTCTCTTGCGATCCGGCAGCGGCCTCGTTTGGCGTCTCAGGCCCACCGGGCGCCAAACTTGGGACGCTCACTGGGCCGCAGCTGACCAGCTACGGACCAGGATGGGCAACACCGGCGGCGCAGCTCGAGTTTGCCACCGTCTTGCCGAGCAAGGTTGGCTCGGCGCTACCGCTCACCGGCGTTGCCGTCCGCCTAGTTGACGCCTTTGGCACGAGACTCGTCGACAGCGGCATCACGGTATCGGTATCTGAGCAAAGCGGTGTGTTCATTGTGTTGGCGCCTGGGCCTTTCCGCGGCGACAACGGAACGTTTCCGCTCGACTCGACCGGCATCGCACTTGCCGGCCCACCGCCGTTTGCGGCGAAGACCGCCGCCGTCGAGCTGACGACCACCACGGCATCCGGCGTCCGGCCGGAGCTGCCGCCGCTGTCCACAGTCGTCACCGTCGGGCTTTGTCCGGTTGACTACGGAGCCATTGACTTGACGGTGACAACTCAGCTGACGTGTGCGCCGTGCGAGCCTGGACGGATCTCCAATCAAGAGAGCGTTGAACCGTGTGACGTGGCCCAGGCTTGCCCCGAGAATATGGTGCTGGAAAACCTGGTCGAGAACACGTGTGTGTGCGAGAGTGGCTTTTGGGCCCGCCCTGGCCGCGACGACCGTGATCCATGTGAGCCATGTCCGCGAGGCGGCCGCTGCGTCGGAGACCTCAACCCCCCGGTTCCACAGGCCGGGTTCTTCCCCGATGGACCGGGCCGCTTCCTGGTCTGTCGCCGCAAGGGCGCGTGTGTCGGTGGCTCGCTTCTCCAGCCGTGCGCCCGCGGGCACGAGGGCTTTCTTTGCAACAAGTGCCAGACCGGGTTCTTCTCTGATCCAGAGCGACAGTGCCGCGAGTGCCCGGCGTCGCCGGGCGGTGTCTTTGGTGGATTTCTCGTTGGCCTCGCCCTGGTTGCCGTCGGCATCGGCGCGGTGTTGGTGTGGCTGCTAGCGCGTGCGCGGCGGCTTGCTGCTCTCGCGGCCGGGGCATCCAAGGGCGCCAACATCCGGGCGTTCCGGACCCAGATTGTCCCGGCCTCCCTCTCGATGGTCCTGGTTGCCTTTCAGGTTGTCGGCATCCTCTCCGAGGCCAACTTTGAGTGGACGAGCGCGTCACGGCAAGTCCTTGCCGTCTTTAACGTCTTCAACGTGGACACCTCGCTGTTCGCTTCCGAGTGTGCGCTCGCCAACTTTCATGTCAAGTACGCCGTCTCGCTTCTCTTCCCGCTCCTCTTTCTCGCCGCCGTGGTCCTCACCATGATCATCCTGCGCTCGCGGTTGGGCTCGCTTGCCGGCGTGAGCATCCGGGCGCTCATCGACACATCGGTTTTCTCCCTCGCACCCCTGGCATACATCCCGCTCTGCAGGTCGTCGTTTGTGCTCTTTGACTGCGTCAAGCTCACCAACGGTGACTTTGTCCTGGATCCGGATCCGGGCGTGGCCTGCTTTGACTCGGCGTGGTGGAGCGTGGCCCCGATCGGCATTGCTGCAGTTCTCGGCTTTGTCATCGGCCTCCCTGTCTACTTTGTCTGGTCGTTGTGGGCCTCGCGCAACTCGCTCTTTGAGCCCGAGACAACCGCGCGGCTCGGCGCGCTGTATCGTCTTTACCGGCGGGCGTACTACTGGGGCGAGGTGGCCAACCTCGCGCGGCGACTCGCGCTTGTTGTGGCTTCGGTCTTCTTCTCCGAGGCGCAGCTCGTGCAGCTGGCACTGATGATGATGGTTCTTCTCTGGTGGGTCTTTGCCGTCGCCACGCTCAAGCCGTACTACTTTCCGCTGTACAACTCGGTCGACATGCGGCTCAACATAGTGCTTGTCGCCATTGTCATGCTTGGTGCGGGCTCATACGCCGAACGAAATGCGACGTCAAGCAACACATTCCTTCTCGTGGCCACCGTCGCCGCGGTCGTCATCCTCGTCGGCGTCTCGGTCGTTGCTATTGCCGTCGACATCAAGCGAATTGTTCAGACCCGGAACGCCACGTATCTGGCTGCCGCCGAGCGCCAGCACAAGTTGATGGGCACCATTTCTGTCGAGCTTCGGGACATCGAGGCCAACCCGGATGTCCTTCGCGCCGCCGGAGAGTTTCTGGGCACCCTCCGTGCCCTGGCGGATGGCAACGGTGGTGGTACCGTTGGTGCTGCCACGACCTTGGCCGCCTCGCCGTCCACCGCAGGCCTTCTGGGCGAGTGCGAGTTTGAGAGCGGTATCGAGCTCGATGAACTATAGTTTCGAGTAAGCGTAGTGTATGTGTGTAATGTTGAAAGTGCATGTGCGCGAGCCAACCAGGTCACGGCAGGATTTCGTCGAGAATGGCGTCCATTTCGGCCGTCAGCGTCTCCGGGTCGAGCTCCGCAACAGGCTTGGGTGGAATGGGCGGCGGCGCGGCCGGCGCAGGTGCTTGCGGCCGCTGAGCTGTGCTCGATACCGGGGGGGCGGCCGTCCGATCTAGCAGTGCCCGGACAGCCAAAAGTTCGCCCTTGATGTGTGCAGATGATGAAAAGGCGTCGAGCGAGGTCATCGAGTGGCGGACGCTCGGCGCGAGCGGCGGTGGCGCCGAGAGCACTAGCGATGGGCGCGGCGGAATTGGCGGCGGGACCGGGGAAGAATCGGCCGGTGGCGTGGCTGGCGACGGCGGAGGCGGCGTAAGCGATGACGACGACGAGAGAGCGCGCGGTGAGAGACTCGCTTGCTCTTCGATGCTAGCGAGCTCTGGTGTCGGCGAAGTTGAGCGCGACGACGGAGTCGAGCTCGGCGCCGACGAGACAGCCGAACTTGGCGCCGAGGCCTGGGCCTGGGCCACCGCAGCCTTGAGCATGCCGAGATCTAGGGCAATGGACGTGGCGCGCTTCTTGACGCGGGTCGACGACTTTGCAATGGCGTCGATAGTGTCAAAGGCCCCTGCGTCAAAGACAACGTCGGCGGTGTTTGGCGGCGCCGTGTTGAGGCTCGGCAGGTGTGCTATGTCCGGCAGCTCTGGGCGCGGATCGAGCTGCTCAAGAATGTCGGCGTCGAGCTCCGCGAGCTCAGTCTCGCAGTCGCACAGTGCCGGGCCGGGCGGAGCGAGATAGGCCTCGAAGGAGCGGACGCGGCCGGTCTGCGAGATGGAAACCCAGTGGGTGAGGTCGCGCTCGGGGCGAGCAAGACAAGCCTTATCGGCAGCGCACGCCACATGATTGCCAGCATGCTCATAAAACGAGGAGAGGGTGGTGAGCAAGGCGACGGTGTACTTGCGGATGCCGTCGCGGGCGTCGACCTCAGCGGCGTTGATCTTGGAGACGACATACGCCTTTGCGCGGTAGTACTGCTCGGTGCGGATCTGCATGTCGAGCAGGCTCTGAGTGTAAGCAAGCTCGGCTTTGCGCGCGGCGGCCACGGTGGCGCTCGCCTTTTTCTTGGCCTTCTTGGCCGCCTTGTCGTTCTCCGACTCTAGAGCAATCTTGAGCGCCTCGAGCGCGGCGGCAACGGCGGCGGTGTCCTTGTGAAAGGCCTCGCGTTTCTTGCGGACGTCAGCAATGGCCTTGGCGTGTGCCTTGTCGAACTTGGCCCCGGCCTTGTCAGCAGCGCGGAGCTCATACTTGGCCACCTCGCACAGGTCGTTCAGCTCGCCGGCAACGTCGCACTCGAGCTTGTCGGCATAGACCAGAATCTTCTCGGCCATGCGGTCCCACTCCCTGCGGACCTCGCGCCACGCGCTCGAGCTGGTCTCGCCCAACGAATCGAGGGCAGTAAGGACCGGTGGGCACTTGGTCAGTGAGCGTCCGTACTTGCTCTGCGCAGCGGCGGCGGCCTTTGCAAAGGTAGCCAGCTCCTCTACCACGTGCTGTCCATTGCTCCGCCATGACACAGGGCAACGCACATGAGTCACGACATCCTCGCCTGTCGCCTCCCTCGCCCGCCCCTCTCCCCTGTCCTCTCGTCTCCTCCCCACTCCAACAGTGTCTGCCCTCGCACGATACGTACAATGGTGGTCTGTAGCCGGTCACGGACGACCTCAAAGCCCTCGCCCTCCTGTCGGTCGTTGCGTCGGTTGTGTGAGTTTTGCGGGTGTTCGGGATCCCACGTGGGAAGCGCACGCAAGGCACGACCCGGCTTGAAGGCCAAGTGCACATGCTCGCAGGTGGGAGGGGGAGGATGGCAGGACGTACAACAAACACGTTTTGGTACAACTCTCGGGGCGAAGGCTGCGCCTTGCCTTTGGTCATTCTCGCGGCGGCCATGGCGAGAGAGTGTGCCGGCTACCGTGTCGACTGGAGACGAAAGGTGCTAGGCTTTCAATAAAATTATGAATTGTTGAGTGGCCGGGGGGGGGGGGGGGGGGCGGGGCGGGTTGTGTGTGTGTGGTTGGGGGGGGGAGGGGCGGGGAAAAAAAGTATTGGGACACCCCCCACGCCACCGCTTTAGCGGCCGTTGGCGTGATGGCCATCGCTTGCATGGGCAAGCTGGAAAAAGGGGCCGAGAAGTGTAGCATTAAATAGTGTACGGATTTTGCATACACGTCATGTGTGTGTACCTGGCAGTCATGTGAACTTTGCGCCACGATGCGAGCCGGAGACGCCACCGGCGTGCGGTTGCGTCACGCCGTGACCAACGCACGCAATGCAGCGGGAAGAACACGTCCGTATGCAGAACGATAGAGCTCGGTATAAGAGCTGCGAGCACCGTGTTGCGGACACCATTGTTACAGCTCAGCCAGGAATGTGCAAAGAGTCGAGCTTACATGCGCCACGTGGCAGGGCGCGGCATGGGGCGTGTGGACAAACTCGAGGCGCGACTGTCCTGCACGGTTGCACGAGTCGGAATTTTTGGGACAAACTGCCGCAAAGCAGTGGCGGCTTCCACAGCGGGATGCTGCAAGCGCGGCGCACACGTCTTTGTCCACAAGCAATATGTCGTACTCTACAGACTCGACGTCGTCGGACTGGGCGCACTCGCTCGTTCTCACGCCGTCGATGAGCACTGGGCCTGAGCTGGAGATGGGCCACTCGCTGCCGGTCTCGTGCAGCGCGTCGGAGCGCGACGAGCAGACGCATCCTGCAACGTCGCAAAGCGCCGGTGGAGGCGAGAACGGAGAGCGAAAGGTGACTGCGCTGCCGCGGGCGGGGCTTCTGGTCATTTCCATTGTGGTCCTCTCCGAGGCGTTCTCGATCTCGATGATCTACCCGTTCTTGGCGCGGATGGTGACCTCGTTTGGCGTGGCAGAGAGCCAAGCGCAGATTGCGTTTTACTCGGGCATTCTTGCGGCGTCGTTCAATCTCTCGCAGTTTGCATCTGCGTTTTTCTGGGGCCGCATGTCGGACGCCCGCGGACGGCGGACGGTGCTCCTCATCGGGCTTGCCGCGAACACGGTGACGATCCTGCTGTTTGGCCTGGCCAAGACGTTCTGGTGGGCGGTGGTGGCGCGCGTGTTCAACGGGCTGGCTAACGGCAATGTGGGTGTGGCCAAGTCGTACCTCCGCGAGATCTCAGACGAGACGAATGCAACCAAGGCGTACTCGCTTGTCGGCCTGGTGTGGGGCGTGGGGATGGTGATCGGGCCGGCATTCGGCGGCATGCTGGCCAACTTTGACGAGACCGTGCCGGCCGTCGGCGGGCGCGGCTCGCCTATTTCCGAGTGGCCGTACCTGCTGCCGTGCATCGTGTCAGCAGTGCTCAACGTGGTCGGCTTTGCCATTGGATGGAAGCATCTGATGACCACAGCACAGCTGCGAGCGCACCAGGCATCGGCGGCGGTGGTGGTGACGGTAGAGACGCCAAGCGCGAGCAGCAGCGCGAACTCGTTGCTCACGTCCACCAGCACATCAACGTCCGGGATGACGGCCGAGGAAGAGCAGGAGGAGGTCGATGCAGCAGGCGTGGCGCTTCTCTCAGTCCAGGCGCTGGATCTGGACACGGTGCCTCTGGTCGAGCTGGCGGAGGAGAAAAAGACAGGCAGAGGGGCGCGCGACGAGGAGGCCGCAGGCGGCGAGGAGCGGCCGGAGCCGTTCCGGGTTGTGGCGCGACGGCTTGCTGGCAACGGCAACCTCATTCTGACCGTATGTGTGTATGCCATCCTCTCGTTTGCGGATATGCTGTACGACGAGACGTTCTCGATCTGGGCTGTGCTCAACCCGAGTGAGGCCGGCGGCGCCGGGTACGGGTTCACGCAGATGGAGCTTGCCGTAGTGTTTATGGCGGCCGGGACGACGATTGTGGTTGCACAAGGCATCCTCATGCCCAAGGCCATTGCGCGGTTCGGGGTGCTCGCCTCGATCCGGGCGTGCCTGTTCGGGACGGCGCCGCTTCTGGTGGCGTACCCGCTTCTGGGGCGGCTCCCGCCGGTCATTTTCTGGGCTCTACTCCTGCTTGTGGCGCTTGTGCGCGCGACGCTTGTCTCGTCGGCTTTTACCGCCATCATCGTCATGACCAACTCGTCCGTGGTGCCGGCCGAGCTGGGCGTGGCCAACGGTATCGCCCAGTCGGGCGCGTCGCTCTCGCGGACGTGCGGTCCGTTTGTCGGCGGCGTCCTCCTTATGTGGTCGCTTTCGGGCCCCAAGCCATGGCCCATCAACCATCACTTGGTCTTTGTTCTCGGTTCCCTCCTTCACCTTGCCGCCGGCATCCTCACCCTCTACATCACGCCTGCCATCAACACGCCGATCACCGAGGTTGCCACCACTGCTGCCGGCGTCATCACTGATGCCGGCAGCCGGAAGAAGGGCACCCTGCGCCGCCGCTGGCTCTGGTGCGCCAGGCCGCGTCGCCAGGCGCATGCCTACCGTACCATCGATGGCCAGCAATGAACGCATATAGGCCCCGATGATGAGTCATGTCGAGTCGAGTTGAGTTGGGACGGACGAACGCGACACGGAGCGCACATGTGGGAGACAAGAGGGCGAGGGGGAGGGGGGGGGGGAGGGGACGACACGACCGACCGT